AACCCACGCTGGGCTGAGTGAATGTTTAGCACGGAGAGCGTTTACGCTAATCTCGGCCCGCTCCAGTTCACCGCTGTGAGTTTGGACGACTCCGCTGCGATTTTTCTTTTTGGCACGACGATGCGGACGTTTTTAATCAGGCAGAGCCCGTGTCCAACTTTCCGTCTGCTTTTAGGACACGTCCTCAGAGGGTTCTTGTCTTTTTTCAATGTTATTTGTTGATTTTTTTCTTCTGTCTTCTCTGGGGAGGTGTGTGCGTGTGTGTGTGTGTGTGTGTGTGCGTGTGTGTGTGTGTGTGTTTTTTTTTATTAGTTGTTTGAAATATATTTTTATAAAAAGGGGAAAAAAAGAGAGATTAAAAAGACACACAAAAAAACAGCACTCCACAGAAGAGAAAAACACAAACACACACAAAAAAAAAAAAAAAAAAAAAAAACACACACACACACACACACACACACACACAAGATTGACTCTTTATTTACACTTTTTTTTTTTTATTTTTTTATGTTTATTGTAAAGTTAGTAAGTGTAGTTAGTGAACTTCTGAACATTTTAAGAAGAAAGTATTAAGAGAAGAGTTAGTCAGAGGAACGTGATTTACTTCCAAATACACTAAAGTATTTTTCATAATACACCATAAACCGTTTTGCTGTTTTACTTGTTCTGAGTTCCCAGCTTTTTGTTATTACCGCTAATCTCCTCTGTATGAGAAAAGCAGCTGTAAAGAAGGACAAAGAGACAGAAGAAAAAGAAAAACAGCAAGAGAGGGGTTTTCTCTCCTAAACCCTCACCCCTTTTTATATTAATAATAACACCCCCCACACACACAAAAAGTTACTGAAAGAATTAGCCGCGGAGACCTAATCTCAAGAGGGTGAGGTGGATCGTGAGCTAGGGAGAGGTAAGGCCCCGCAAAGTGTTTAGGGGATAACCGCCTGGATTAGAGAGGATTAGGCCAGTGTTAAGAGAGCAGCACACATTACCTGCTCCCCCCCTATGGGGAGTGCGGAGCTTTGATAGCATGAGTGGGCTGTGTTGGGTTGTTGTGAGCGAAGTAGAGGAAGAACAGGAGAAAGCCAGGACACGCCAGAGGAGAATAGAGCCAAAGATTGGGTTTCAGACACACACACTCTTATTTTAGAGAGCAAATATGGTATATAAGGCCTAATTAAAAAAACCGCAGCCTGGTAGGGAGAACACGAGAGAGAAAACCTAGAACAATAACAAAAGAACAGAAAAAACAGTAAGAAGGAAGCCACGCCAAGCACACAGAGTAAAGATAAGAAAAAAAACACACACACACACACACAATAAAGAGAAGACAAAAAAAAAAACGTAAAAAAAAAAACACACAAAAAAACACACACACACACACACAAACAAAAAAAAAAACACACACACACACAACCCAAAAAAACAACAACAAAACAAAAAACAACAAAAAAAAACACCAACACAAAAAAAACAAAAAACAACAAACAACAAACACAAAAAACAAGAAACCAAAAACAAAACACAAAACACCCCCCCTCACACACAAAAACACACTAAAAACACCCCACCCCCCCAAGAGACCCAACAGAGAAACCAAAAACCCACACAAAACCACAGACAAAAGCCCCTGACACCACACGCCCACAACACGCAAAACAACAAAAAACAGAACAAAGCAACAAAGAAACACAAAAAACAAACACCCCCCAAAAAACAACCCCAAAAAAAAAAACCCCAAAAAACACACAAAAAAAAAAAAAAAAAAAACACACACACACACAAAACACACAAAAATAGTGTGTGGGGGGGGCTCTCTTTAGAGGAGAGGAAGAAAACACACAAAAAAACACAAAAAAAAAAAACAAAAAAAAAAAAAAAAAAAAAAAAAACACAAACACACACACACAAACAACATTTTTATTTATTTACTAAAAAAAAACAAAAAATACAAAACCAAAAAACAAAAACAACATAAAAAAACCAAAACAAAAGCCTAACATTTACCCCTAAGCCCCTTACCCAAACCCCTAAAAACAACAAAAAAAGAAAAAAACAACAAGTATAACAGCCAACCTTCTATACTTTACCAATCCCCAACACCCACCCACCTCTCCCCCTAAAACATACACACACACACAAACCTATGAAACAAGTGCCACCGAGCTCTAAAACAAGGGAAAAGAGAACAAAAAGAAAAACCCCACCCCAAAGGAAAACCCACACACACAGAAAATTAGCGCTCCCGTTAATGCGCACAGCTTTATTCCCCCTTCCCCGCTACAAAACCACCCCACAAACACACAGCCGGCAACTAAAACACAAAAAAACCACATACTAAACAGCCTATAAAACCTTCAAACAACCAACCCAAAAAAAAAAAAAAAAACAGAAATAATAATGCCGTTCAGCTGGGGTATAAAAATGTATTGGGGTGTTACACAAGAGAGAAAAATCAATCCAGATCAATCTATCCATCCATCCATCCATCCATCTTCTACCGCTTACTCCTTTTCAGGGTCACGGGGAACCTGGAGCCTATCCCAGGGAGCATCGGACACTAGGGGGAGTACACCCTGGACAGGGTGCCAGTCCAGACCAATCTAGACCTTTTTAAACAGTCTGCTGCAATTAGCTCCGTCCCTAGTCGGAACAGGTGCTAAGCCACGCCCACTTTTTTATTCACAAAACAATTCACGAGGAGAAGGGAAGAAAAGGCTCGTCTGTGTTTCCACCGCATCTCACTACAGGCAGAAGAGGGTGCTAATTATTACATACCGCTCCTTTCAATAAAAATCATTCCTTTGTGATGAAACGCCAAAACTCCAGAGATCAGAGTTCATTTTATTCACACAAAAAAAAGACAACATGAAAGAATTTTTGCAATACAGCGGTGGTTTATCTGCGGTGTTTAATTCAATCATAAAACCGTCTGGGAATTCATTTTAACTGAATTTAATTTAACCCACTATGTGTGCTCCCTACCTAGGGTTTAACATAACTGTGCCCTACCTAGTGCCTCACCTAGTGCCCTACCCAGTGCCCTACCCAGTGCCGTACCCAGTACCCTACCCAGTACCCTAGCTAGTGCCCTACCTAATGCCCTACCCAGTGCCCAACTAAATGCCCTACCTAGTGCTCTACCTAGTGCCCTACCAAGTGCCCTACCTAGTGCCCTACTAAGTGCCCTACCCAGTGCCCTACCCAGTACCCTACCCAGTGCCCTACCCAGTGCCCAACCCAGTGCCCTACCCAGTGCCCTACCCAGTGCCCAACCCAGTGCCCTACCCAGTGCCCAACCCAGTGCCCTACCCAGTGCCCTACCCAGTACCCTACCCAGTGCCCAACCCAGTGCCCTACCACAGTGCCTCACCCAGTGCCCCACCCAGCCCTACCCAGTGCCCAACCCAGTGCCCACCCAGTGCCCTACAAAGTGAACCACCCTTTGCCCTACCCAGTGCCCTACCCAGTGCCCAACCCAGTGCCCTACCCAGTGCCCAACCCAGTGCCCTACCCAGTGCCCAACCCAGTGCCCTACCCAGTACCCTACCCAGTGCCCTACCCAGTGCCCTACCCAGTGCCCTACCCAGTGCCCTACCCAGTGCCCTACCCAGTACCCTACCCAGTGCCCAACCCAGTGCCCTACCAAGTGCCCTACCCAGTGCCCTACCCAGTGCCCTACAAAGTGAACTACCCTTTGCCCTACCCAGTGCCCTACCCAGTGCCCAACCCAGTGCCCTACCAAGTGCCCTACCCAGTGCCCTACCCAGTACCCTACCCAGTGCCCAACCCAGTGCCCTACCAAGTGCCCTACCCAGTGCCCTACCCAGTACCCTACCCAGTGCCCAACCCAGTGCCCTACCCAGTGCCCTACAAAGTGAACTACCCTTTGCCCTACCCAGTACCCTACCCAGTACCCTACCCAGTGCCCTACCAGTACAGAGTGTAAAACAGAGTTTGAGATTCAGCCACTGAACACCTTTTGGTTGTTCCTTAACGTCGTCCAACAAAGCTGCACATCTTCTTACCGTACGTCTTCTGTATAGATAAAAGTATTGGCACCCTCGCCTTCATTCGGAGGGTGACGTGTGGGAATGACGTGAACCATATTGAATTCGTTTATCCTGGGTAAAGCTCTCATGATTGTTGAACTAGTGTCTGGAAGAATCATAAAAATGGTGCTGAGCTTTTGAGAAAACTAAACGAATCCTCACCTCTTATTACTGCTTTACACCAGGCTGAGACACACACACACACACACACACACACACACACAGGTACAGCGCCAGTGAGCTGCGATCGCCGCTCAGCTGATTCATGACTCAGATCTCAGTAGTGTTAAAGCACATACGCACTGGAGAATGTGGGCGGGGCTGGCAACAGCGCACATCACCGATTTGTCGATCACAACGTACAGAAGCGTAAGCCCCTCGGAAAAACCCTGAAAACGTTCCAGGCCGATACAAAGCGCTGGCACTGGAGACTCCTTCCATAAATGTTACACAAACGTCTCCTTACTGTAAGAAAGCTTCACCACTCGAGGTGGGCGGAGCTACAAACAGCGCACATCACTGATAGGTTAATTAAAGTGGACGGTAATGCTTCTGTCCCCTTTCGCGAGTTTATCATACAGTTTGATGCTTCAGTTTTATCCGTACGTATTCCCAGCGGCGTTACTGATGTTCTCACGCACAGACGCCAGGGCGTTTATAATTCCATTACACTACAACAATTGTGGACTTTACATCGCCGAAAACAAGAACTGATCCGATCCGATCCGAATAGAAAAAACATCGGATGTTTACATATAAAGAGACGCGATTATTAAAAAAAAAAGTATTGGCACACCGCCAAAAAAATATTGACACCCTCGTCCTCGATGGCCGTTAACATGCAGTTGCAGCACGTTCTCTAACGTCAAACGAGAAAAACCGTGTTCACCAGAATTATTGTGAAATAATCACCAGAATTATTGGCACCCTTGGTTAAAATGGGTAAAAAATGTCAGTGGTAGCTTAACGGTTATGATGTTAGACTACTGATCGAAAGGTCGTCGTGAGGTCAAATCCCAGCAGCACTAAGCTGTCAATGTTGGGCCCGTGAGCAACGCCCTTAACCCTAAACTGCTCAGATGTATGAGATAAATGTAAGTCGCTCTGGATGAGGGCGTCTGCCACATGCCGTAAATGTAAACTAGCTCACACACACACACACACACTCTGTATAACCAGCCCCCTGATCATAATCATCGCGTCTGATTAATTATTGTTCATTACGACACATCTCATCTGATCATGTCACCCATCTTTTATCCGCAGCATATCAACCGCGCTACACAAATGACGTACGCCAACATGACAATGAATCGAAAACGCACAAAGGAACGTGTTTAAATGCTCCACTCGTTCAGGAACCTCGGTCGCGTCCGATTACGATCACGTCCGTGAGTACTGGAATAACTGTGCAGCAGCCCTGATGTCCTTCATGAGATTTGAACTCACACCCGCACATCGCTCACTAGCGCACTGAGACGCTGGGGCTTTGGCTCAGTCTGAGTTTTTCAGGAGCCTGGAGGGAATCAGGGAAATGGCAGCAGAGTGGGTTTTTTTCTCGTCTTTCAGAAGGAGAAATGAAATGTCTAGAGAGCAGCCGGCTTTGTGAAAGCACTCCAGGCTTGTGTTTTGGGATGACACACACACACACACACACACACACACACACTGACACAAGAGTTATTTGGAAACATGTCAGGGCTTAAATCCGAGCACCTGGAGGACTCTGTGTTCGCTTCAGAAGCTGCAGATGCGAAGAAAAAAACAGACGCAGCTTTTCTCTCCGCGTGTGACGATAATCAGTTAGACGTTATATAAACCTCTGGGAATAAACCCGTGTGTGTGTGCTGCAGTTAGACCGCGCCGACACTGGAGACTCCTTCCATACATGTTACACAAACGTCTCCTCACAGAAAACGTCACCGTATCCGCACATGATCATTTAAAACCCCTTTTACGCGTCGCGTCCGAGATACGCGTCCCTGTGAATGAGCTGTTGCTATAGAAACGATAACGTACCGCAACGAGCGCGTTAATATAATATAAACCTGCTGTTATTTATTTTTTTTATTCACATTCTAGCCAATCAGAAATCAGAACTGTCGTCGCGTTATAATATTTGACGACTCTGCGATCACTAGCCCTGGTTCAAGGGAGTGTTGATTTACGCTCAGCATCGGTATTGTCAAAACAAAACAAAAAGTCATATCAGGACACTCGAGGACGTTTCTACGATACACGATGCGTATCGCGATATATCATTTAGCTAACACACTGTATGCAAAACAGTAGCAAAATAACCAAAACAAAAAAAACGTTCAACGGAGATCGACGATACTTTAATTCCTTACGACGGCGAAGAAGATTCCGTTTTTAAAAAATCTACATGAAATCGACGGCATCCGTTCAGTACCCTTTCATTCGCAATTATTAAAAACGTTTTTTAAAAATCCATCACTGTACCAACGATATCTCAGAAAAGTGTATCGCGCAATCCTTTCTCACGATATCGATATTACATCCATATATATCGCCCAGCCCTAGATCAAAATATCTTTCCTTTGCCATGTGCCGGTGCTTTCCTTCCCTTTCAAAATACACAGGGGGTGTAGTAACTTTTACACTCAACTATGTCTATACGTTTCTGTAAATTGTAAAAAACAAAAAACAAAAAAAAAAACAAACAAACACCCCAGAAGTATATTTTAATTTACCCACAGGGCGTACAAACTTTTGCACTTAACTGTATCTATGGGTTTAGGTTATTGTCTTGTTCCAGGATGCACCCGCATTTCCCTTTGAACATTTTATAAATCTCTTTTTTTTTTCTTCAGAAGTGCATGTGATTCTTTTTTCCCATTTAAAAGCCAGATCAACATCTGCACCAGGATACTGAATATATCTGTATGAAGAAAAAAAAATAACCTGGATTATATGCACGATGCTAATCTTTTAGCTACAGACTCACATGACTTGTTAGCTATAGCTCGAGATGATCAGAAAGGTCAGAAAAGGTCATGTGATCCGTCCCATGGCAATAACATCAACCCGTTTCTCTGAAAGGCGTAATTGTTACAGATATAGGTTTGTTTTTGTTTTTAACATACTGCAGCTTTAACCAGTTGTGATGATCCCCCCAAAAAAAAAATATTCAGACCTGTTGTAATCATGTGACTAATTTCCGGACCAGAAAAATGTCAGCAGGAGCTTTAAGCTAATGAGCCACTTTTATTTCATATGTGTCTGGAAACGACAAAAAAGACCTACTGCAGCTTTAACCAGTTGTCACTCCCGCAATCATATGACTGTTAGAATCCTGCGAGTAATTTCTGGACCAGAAAATTTAAAAAAAAGAAGTGTGGAAAGAAGCTAATGAGTTCTGGCACATGGTAATATCATGAATTACTGTTTTTTTCTTTAGTCATATGATTATTTATACAAGACTTGGAAATATTTAGCAGGGAAAATAACATACTGCAGCTTTAACTAGCTGTCGCTGTTCTAAACGATGTGACGGTTATAATCATGTGACTAATTTCTGGAGCAGAACGATACAAACAGGAGCTTGAAAAGAATCTAATAAGACCAGTTATATGGTAATATCATGAACCATATTCTTTCTGCAGCCATGATTGCTCCGAAAAAATTACGTACTGCTGCTTTAACCAGTGGTGATGATGTCATAATCATGTGACTAATTTCTGGGCCAGAACAAAGGCATCTGCTACACTGCATGTCATGATCCATATTCTTTCTTTAACTATGATGGTTATGGGTCTGAAATATTTTTTTTGAAATGCATATATTCAATTATATCAAAATCAATTGTGACTCATAACATTTCTGGACCAGAAAAAATGTAAACCGGGGCTTTCAAAATGTAATGTCATCTGTTACATTGTAAATACATGAACATTTTTTTTCCTCTTCTTACTCATATGATTATAACAGCACTATAATTATTTCGTGGGGAAAACGCACACTGCAGCTTCAACCAGTTGGGACTATTATAAACATATGACTCATTTCCGGACCGGAAAAATGTAAACAGGGTCTTGAAATGAATTTAATGAGATCTGTTACACTGTACCCGCATGAACTCTATATTTCTTCTTAGTCAGATGATTATAACAGCACTAGAATCATTTAAGAAAAAAATGACATACTGCAGCTTTAACCAGTTGTGACTGTTATAAACATAAGACTGCTTTCTGGACCTGAAAAATAAAAACGGGAGCTTTAAAAAAAAAACCTAACATGATCTGTTACATTATAACTGCATGAACTATATCCAATTTTAGTTATGTGATTAGAAATATTTAGAGGGGAAAAGTACATACTGCAGCTTTAACCAGTTCTGACTGTACTTTCTGGACCAGAAAAATGTCAACCGGAAATATCAGGGTCTTGAACTGAATCTAATGAGATCTGTCACACTGTACCTTCATCAATCGTTGGGTTTTTTTTTTTTTTCAACTTCGGCCATATGATTACAGCAGGTCTGGAAATATTCTGAAATGACTGAATGACATACTGCGGCTTTAATCGGTGAGGATTCGCGCGTGTTTGTGGCGGCGGGTTCTGACCTGCCGCGAGCTGCATCCAGCCGCAGATCTTGAAGACGGTGGCGGTGCTGCAGAAGAAGAAGAGCGTGAAGCAGCCGATGCAGGTGAGCACCAGCACCATGGAGGTGCCCACGAAGAAGGACGCGGCCTTGAAGGCTCCTGACGGGATGGAGCTGAAGTCGGAGAAGGTGCCGTAGCAGGCCAGCTCGCGCGCCACGCCGTTGCCGATGCAGTAGTGGAAGAGGCCGAAGTAGCCGACCTGCGGGGTCTCCGCGCCGTCGCCGATCCAGTAGGGCTGGATGAAGCACACCACGTTGACGATGGCGAACAGCACGGTGAAGATGGCCCACAGCACGCCGATGGCGCGCGAGTTCCGCACGTAGTTCGTCTGGTAGATCTTGGCGGCTTCTGACGCGGGGAGCATCTCTGCAGGCTTTCTGCGCAAACCTCTCTCTCAACACGGAAAAAAATAATAATAAGTCAAAAAAAAATCAGATCAAACACACCCCAGAAACACGGGTCTACCTGTCAGCGCGCGTGATTCATGCGGTGCGCGCGTGCCGGCTCTCACAGCGCGCGCGCGCGTGTGTGTGTGTGTGTGTGACCTCACACAGGTGGAGACCCGAGCAGGTAGACAAGATGACCACGAGCCCCGAATTCCCACCTCAGAGCCTCTCCTGCTCCATGTCTCCCCGCTCCGCGGGATTCTGCCGCATTGATGAGCGCCTCGCCCGCTCACTGCGTCTCGCGCACTCACCGCAGCTTCTGGATCAGCGGGGAATGACGTCTTAACATCCACAAGCCAGGCTTGACATCACCGAGGGAGCGGATGCTCGCGCGCTGAAACGGTGCCTGGATTCAGGACGCAGACACGGTGCGCGTGACGCCGCGATGGAGCTCATGCAGCGGCGAGAAGAGGAAGAGGAAGAGGAGGAAGAGGAGGAACACCACCTTTAATACTGATCTCAGCAGTGTGCCGCGCGCGCATCCCGCACCCAGTGTCCATCTCTCCTTTAATACAAACCCTCAGCATCACGCGCACTCACACGCGCGCGCGCGCGCACACACTCACACTCCGGCTAATCCTTACGGCTGACATGTAAAAAAAAAAAAAAAAAAAAAAAACACGCCCCTTTGACTAAAACGAGAGGAATAAAAACCTCCTCACTGTCGCGCTTCCTCCCCACATATACCCCCCCCCCCACTCCTCCTCCTCCCCCTCCTCCTCCTCTTCACCCATTCCCCCCACCCGCGTGTCACCTGTCCAGAACACACACACACACACACACACAGGTGAATGATGATAACCCGCTGCCACCTGCTGGTGAGAGGCGGTATTACACACACCGGCCTGTAATAAAGCGCTATAAAGTCTCAATCACTGAAAACCACTTCCAATCATAATAATAATAATAATAATAATAATAATAATAATAATAATAATCATAATAATAATCATAATA